GGCCTGGCTGGAGGGACTGGGTGGTAGGAGTGTGCTGAGTGCGATTGCTCTGGCCTGGCTGGGGGGGACTGGTTGGGAGGAGTGTGCTGAGTGCGATTGCTCTGGCCTGGCTGGGGGGGGACTGGTTGGGAGGAGTGTGATTGCTCTGGCCTGGCTGGAGGGACTGGCTGGGAGGAGTGCGCAGTGTGCGAATGTGGTGCACAAGCCTTTAGTTTTGGCCAGAGCTAAGTTGTTAGGGGAGAGCCTTTCACTGTTGCACCAGTGTGCGATACCATACAGCGTCTCCCCTTTCACCCTCTGATCACTGTGCAACGCCAGTTTCCTTCCCCACTCGCACCTCCCCAGCAGGTAAGATGGCAAGAAACACAGGACATGGTTTGGCTCTCCTCAACCTCTTAAACTCCGTCTCGACTTCTCTCTTAGTTATTTTTTTCCTTCTTTCTCTTCCCGTTGGCAAAGCCCCCAGGAGTGCAGGAGGAAGGAGCGAGGGAGGAGACGGAAGGGGAGGGAAGTGCCCAACCGAACGAGTGGATTAGTGATTAAAAATATATTTGCGTGTTACAAAAAATGAGGCGCTGTTCTTTCTTGGTGAGAAAAACCCCAGTCTTGTGGTTGTTGTGCTGGTGGTGGGTAGCAGTAGGTCTAGAAGTGGTGTGCCACATGGTGTGTGTTGGGGGATCCTGGTGTAGGGGGCGCTCTTATATATCCACACAGGCTCTCTGTCTGTCAGCACTGCTTTGTAATACAGCTGTAAAACTGTATAGCCTTCCCCTCTCTCTCTCCCAGTCTCTCAGCTCTGACCACTAGCCCACACTGCCTCCCTCCCTCTCTCTCCCAGTCTCTCGGCTCTAACCACTAGCCCACACTGCCTCCCTCTCTCGGCTCTTGACACCCTTGACCTCGCAGATTTGAAAAGATGTACCAGCGCTGTGGCCTTTTCGTTGTCCCTGAACTGACAGAATGACATCGGTCGTTTTCTCTTCGTGCGGTCGAATGTGTTTCGAGGCGCGCGCTCTGATTCAGCATGCAAGGCTTGTTCATAAAAAAAAAAAAGAAGTCTGCGGGCCCTCGGGGCTAGATTCACTCCGGTAGTGTGCCATCTGCGTCGCAGCGCAGAGACCTTCGCACTCCGAGCTGAGCCCTGCTCCTCTTCACCAGCAGAGCCCACGGGCCATCGCAGCCCAGCTGGGCTTTAATTTCAGGTGTCCCCAATGAGACCCTGAACAAAGTGACAATGCGGAGCGCTCCGTTCAGCTCTTCTTGCCCGTGTTGTGTCTCTTCGGGGTTTAAAGATCTCAGAAAAGACGGGAGAATAGCGTCTTGAGGGAATGGGCCTGAGCTCGGGTGTGGTGTGGAGTCGTTTCGCTGTCCGGCTTTTAAAAGAGGCGTCCAGACGGAATTCCGGAACTGTTTTTTCTCCGTGGGGCAGCGAGGATCCACGTGCCCGTCGGTCCGCAGTCTCCTCGCCGAGAGGAGCACCGAATTCTGGGATGGCGGTGTCTCGGAGTAGAGTTCAGTCACAGCAGCAGCTCAAAACGCGTTCTCACGTGCCTCTCTCTCTCTCTCTCTCTCTCTCTCTCTCTCTCTCTTCTCCTTGCAGCTTTTCCAGATCCACGGGCACAGGGTGTAGGATGTAGGACTGTTTTCCCCAGTGGAGTCGTGCGCTGTCGTTCTGTCCCAGGCCCACCCTGCAGCGAGCCGGCTGCGACCGGTGCCCTGCGGCGCGTCAATAGCAATACAGAACATCGGGTGCCTTGATACCAAGACGACATTGCCGTGTCGGAAACCGGAATTGTGCGTATTTATTATTTGTACTTTAATTTGCAAGACGGTCGCTTTGGGGACCCACCTCGGAATCTTCTCCGCAGGTTGTAAGGTTGTGCGCGTGTATCGATGTTTTGCGTGGACAAATCTCGAGATGCAGACTGGGAACCAAAGACACATCTTCCAGCCTCCTGGCCCAGGGACAGTTTACCTCGGCTGGGCCAGTGCTGGCTCTCCATCGCCACCTCCTGGGCGGCCGGGCCACCATCCTGCACCTGCAGTGTATCCTCCCTCTCCAGCAGTAGGAGCCAGGTGTGTACAGTATCCCCACTCTGTGCGTCGACGCCAGGTCTGTTTACTGTAAACATTTTGCACCTGGTCGGAAACCCGTAGGGCTTGGCCGTACCTGCACACCTGTCGTGCATGTACTGCTTTCCCTGCACTCCCGGTGACCCTCAACGGTCAGGATGGGTGCCGCCCACCCTGGTCTGGAAAGCTCTAATAAGTCTTCCAGGTCTCCCTTAACTCATCAATTTCTGTACAGACCTGGAACACGTGGCGTCTGGTCGAATGAGCCAGTTAACTGTCTCCGTTCAGTCGGGACGGGCCTGAGGTCGCCAAGATCTACAGGGGTCGTGGGATTTCCGTGTAGGAGGATGCTGCTTTGTTGCATCAGACCTCCTGCTTCGATGGTCACAACAGGACTGTTCCAGGCGTTTAGAAACTGGTGGTTTCAGGGTCGCCTATTAAATCTGTGGGACCGGGGCTCCCCAGAACCAGGGGCTATGTGTGCATACTTTTAGATCTAGTGAGGGTGGGGCTCACTGGCCGAGGACAGACTGCCAACACTGTGGAGTCGCAATAGGCAAGAGATCCGAGGAGGTCGCTCCTCTCTCGAACCGTGGGTGCAGACTTGGCCTCAGACAGTTCGCCAGCACATCCACCAGCCGAGCTGGACATTTCCCGTCTTACTCTGTGATCATTCTTCTGCCTTCCTAGTGCATTCATTTCAGCGGTGCTTCCCTGATACCAGGTGCAAAATCGAAAGAGAAAAAACTTTTTTTTATTTTTTTTTCCACTTTGTAAAATGTTTTTTTTTTTCCATGTAAAATGTTTAGTTGCTTGTCTTAAATATTACACTGTCATGGATGCACTCTGTCGTTCAAGCAGTTTTTGTCACACTTCCTTTTGCGGTTTGCCTCATAGGGTTGGTTCAGGTCCTTAAATCTGTCACTTCACCCCCAGATGCATGTGTGCAAGATCGGGTTATGCTGGGACTGGGAAGAGGGTGCTGTGTGTGACTGCTCTGGCCTGGCTGTGGGGAGTGGTTGGGAAGAGTGTGCTGTGTGTGACTGCTCTGGCCTGGCTGTTGGTATCTGGGTCTCCTCCTTCTCACTTCTCCCAGTTCTTGACCAGTGTTTCTCTCTCTGGTGCTGGGCTGTTTGATCCCTGTCGCACAGTCCCGCCTGGGCGTCGAAGGCTCTGTACGGTACAGGACTGGGTCGATTTACTCCGGCTGCTTTGTCGAGCCGAGCAAGAGCCAGCCCGTGCAGCTCCAGCCTCGCGGGCCCTGTGGTCCTGGGTCGGGAGCAGTTGGGCCCAGAGAATCGCTCCGTTTCCATCCATGAGCTAGAGAAGAGGGAAGACCTTTAATTCCGAACCAGAAAGAACTGCGATCCCAGGGTCCTGCAAGGGATGCTTCCTTGTCGCCCCCGGATTTACGCCACTCGTTTGCACACCTCCATGTCCTCCGCACATGGAATGCGGCCCGGTTCTGGGTGAGCAGCCGGGCCGCACCAGGCTGAAGTTCTGCATCGGCAGAGCAGGTTCACTACCGGAAACGCCTGGGGGCTGGACAAGGGAACCCTGGATCAGCGCAGCCCTCTGGATCTCTGGGAGAAATCCGTAATGAACCCAGGCCTGGGTGGACCTGTTGTGCTCAGAACTTGGAAGGGACCGGTTCTGTGTCCCTCCAGTTTCCCACAGCCAGGCTCCCACAATGCACTCGAATTTCCTTCTCCGCTTTTGAATATCATAGACGGGGGGGGAGCTTATTCTAGGACTGCGGAGTCATTGAATGAACTCTGTGGGCCTTTTGTGAATTAAAAACAAACAAATGTATCACAAAGGCACTGAAATTATTCAGAATAAATCTTTATTTGGAAAATAAAAACAACGTGAATTAAAAGCTACTGCACAAAAAGGGTTTTTAGACACCACAAAAAAAATACCTGATCTTTAATTACTGAAGTGTTGAAACATCTTTCACGTGTTATAGTAATTACGAGACAAAAAAGGCACATAACATTTCTATTTATAAATAATATGAGAGCGAGACAGATTATCTACATCCTTGTCACTGTGCTCAAGTTGTGCTAAGTAATAAATATCTTTCTGAATCAAGGAAAATACCGACATGCAGTTACAGAGACTAGCCAAAAACACAAATTATCACGATCTCTATAAATCTCTGATATTCATACGTAGACTAATCTAATTTTGCATTGCTGCAGGCCTTTAAATATTAGTTATCGCTAGGTATGGATTGAGGATAGAGAGTGTTCAAAGGCCGGAGACCAGTATGTTTCTTCCATAACGGTGGACTGGAGACTCAGTGGGAGAGCCCGTTGCTGGTCCTGTCTCGGCGAGAGTGCAGGAGTGTTGCTCAGTGGGAGTGCAGGAGAGTCCGTTGCTGGTCCTGTCTCAGCGGGAGTGCAGGAGAG